CCCTTCTCCCGGACAGCAGAGACATGCCTCGTGTCTGCCGTGGCCTGTGCCTCCCATGGAACGAGTTAGGTTCCTTCTCCACACTCCATCCATCAACCAGATGCTGATGGGCTCAGGATGTATTTCAGGTGCGCTCTAAATTCCTTTCCTGACTGATTTTGCAAGACTTCCTCCAAGTGCAGGGGGGCCAGGGTGGYTGCAAGCCCTGGGGAGAGGTGGAGCCTGGGTACAGGGCCTCAGCTGCTTTGAAAGCAGGCCTGCATGGCCAAACTGGGCATCAGCGACACCTTAATCCTTCCACAGYCAGCAGCGTTTTCAGTTTTCCTGCCGCTCCTCTAATCCATCCGTTGGGAGGTTTGGAGGGCACAGCAGCCCCCCGTGAGCTCCCTGCCCAGCYGGTCCCCAGCACAGCCGGCCTGAGCACGGCACCTGCAAAGCTCACGGACAGCCAGGACACGCGGGGACCTCAGAGCTGCCCCTTGCCCCTGCAGCACTCATCACAAGCTGCTGCTAGWCCACAAATCAGATTTAGGATTTAATTTCTAAATACTCATGTTGGCCTGCCACCAACATGTAAGATAGCCTTTTTTTCCCCCCTTGTTCTATTACTCTGTGTCAAGCTGTTTTGTATTTTCACTCCTGAATTTTCTCAAAACTGTCAGCATTCTGTATTTTAGCCAAATCCCAGTGCCAAAACTGGCAAATTCAATATATTTTCCAGAAAATAGACAACTTGGATGCCATTATATGTTATTAAAGTTTTACCAGGTATGTTGTACTCACCATTTATGAAGCTTCCATAAAGCATGCATCTATAATGAGCTCCAGCTTGCTTTCCAGGCAAATATGGAAGACTATTTTTTTATTAATATTTGTGAACAGAAGTGTGTGCTCTGTGGATGCTGCTGTGATTACTGGAACACACAGCTTGCTGGGGTTTACTGATTTCCTAATCCTACAAAGCAGAGGGCAGGTACAGGCATTTGTGTGTAGCCATCACTGAGCAGTTGACAGAGCTGACAAGGAGAAGAAAGCAGGGAAGCAACAGGGAGTTGCTGCTGGCTCCTGTCGGGACCTAAGTCCAACAGCCCATCTGAGAGCAGCTCCACATTCACAGAGCACAAGGTAATTTCCAGCACGTGTTGTCAGGTATGGCTGGGATGGAGCAGGCACCTCCAACACAGCAGTGCCCCACATCTCAGATTCACCAGCCCTTGGRAAAGTCAGCCGGGGATAAATGGATGAGGGGACAATTGCAGGAGACTCTCACCTGGGTGGGGTGCAGAGCCCCAGCACCTTTGGCACACCCACGTGTCCTCAGCTGGGCTGAAATCCTGTCTAACAAAGCCTCAGAGGAGCCCCCAGCCTTGAGGAGCCCCCCGGGCTGAGGAACAAGAGGGTCAGCAGTGGGAGCTCAGAGCTGCCGTGTGTGCGGGAGTGAAAAGTGGGGTTTGTACCTGTGCAGCAAAGCTGAGCAAGACTTCTCTCTTCATGTGGCAAGGACTTTAATGCTGGGGCCAAATCTTGGGCTTAAAACAAAGCCAAAAAGGAAAACTCTCTCCAAACATTCATAAGCCTCTTTAAAAAGCTTCTATTTAAGAGGAACCGCAAAGCAGGCACGTTGCCATGGGACTGCACTGCTTTTAGCTGACCCCATATGTAATGGCAACCTGAGCAAGCTGTTAAATGCTTTAATGCAGCTCCCTGGCCCCCAAGGCAACTTCCTCCTGTGAACGCCAGAGCCAAATCCCTGTAACAGCTAGCTTTAAATCTGGAAACACGGACTACCCTCCCATCTCATTAGAGAATCAAAGTATTCACTGGGACACAGCGAACAGTGAATTGAATGCCCAAGTTAGGGATAAGGGAGGCTACGTCTCTCTCGTGTTTGGGAAGTGTCGTTAACCAATAGTGGCAGCACTTGGTCACAGCGTAGCCTGCCTTCTGCCTGTTAATTAAATCATGATACCGAGAGGCCATGCTTCATACCACGTGCAGCAGAGGAGGCATTGGTTGTGAAAAGCATCCGTGCCACTGCTGTCAGCTCCGTACCAGCACATTGCACAGGAGGAGGCATCTGCTCCTCCTTCCC